GTACAGTTAAGGCAATTAGTGAAGTTGCCGCATTCAGGGCAGCTTTCACGAGAGACGACGGGCTGTTCATGTGTTCGTATGTGCTCATTGGAGCACAGTAATGCGTAGGCTGAACGATCCTCGTCAGAGTAGCGCGATCTGAAAACTGCGAGATAAAATCCCGGTCAGATAACTCCACCTTCCTTCTTTCGAAGTTGACAAACAAACACCGTTGTGTGAGAAGCAAACAGGGCGTTAGACGATGTAGTCATGGCAAAGCAGTTGTAGTCGTTGCTGATCTTCAAAGTTTTCGCAGGTGCCTGTTCAATCATTCATTCTTATAAGCATGTCGTCGTGCTTTCTCCTTTATGTGCTCATCTTAGCTGAAGCTTTTCCTAGTTTCCGTATTTATCGTCGGCTTCTTTTGATGCGCTCATCCAAAGTATATTCCGAAGTCGATTTTTTTTTCAAAATTTTAATCTAAACTTTCTTTCAGTTCTAATATCCAGTAAACGCATTTCAGAGTACAGTAAGGGGCAAACGGGTGAGACTAGAAAGCTGTAAAAGTGTAACAATGGTAGGGGCGCGTTTTATATATTCTTACGTTTGTAATGAATGACGTAGTTTACTTTTGTAATTTACTCTTGTATGCATGATGTATTTTATATTTCAGCATCGGTTTTGTCTATGTTCCAAATACCGCGTAGCTGAGAAGTTTGCTTCACGACTTCATCGGAGTTTCCGGTCAACAGCCCTGTGCTTTCTTCTGCACAGTTGTCTGTTTCTGCTCAGACACGGTGATCAGAGTTGGGTTGTGTCAGCGACGGACGGTTTTCTAGATTCGGATGGCGCTGAATATCAGTCAGATCATCGCTGACGTACGGTCGACTGTGGTCCGATTGCATGAAAACGACAAACTCACCGATACGCTGTTGGCCAGTCTACAGAGCGTGAACGAACGCATCAACTGTATGAGGGAGGTGAGTTTCAGCAGTTTTGTCTATAAGTGTTTGCCGGTGGTGTTTTTTTTTCAAACAAATATAGCTACATATGTTCCTACGTACATATAATTTATCTTTTGCGGGTAAAACATATAAAGAATTAAGGAGTACCGCTAGCCGGCTGTAGTGTTTTATGCAAAGAATATGTTTGTCAGAAGACTTCTTCCAAATCAGGCACTCTTTCGGATAGAGTATCCCTGCGCTGACTTGATTTTCACTCTAAAAATAACGTTAATCAATACCGACAACTTCATTTCTAACTTGGTTTTTCAGTTTCCTCTACTTTAAGATTCAATTTGATTCACTACATTGCCTGACGATGTGAAAAATCTTGAAACGCTATGAGATATTTGAGCACATTGTTCCCCCTTTGGTTTCGCCCGCGAGATATGCTTTCGCCTTTGCTATTCAGCAGTGTTCTAGACTTTTTTCTTTGAAACAGTGCTGACAGCAGAAAACACGAAGGTCTCATCCTAGGCGCAGTTCAAGATATCTGGCAAGATATTTTGGTGATTTAGAGTACGTCGATGATATTGTATGGATGAAGAAGTACGGGTAGCGACATCTGTCAGCACTGATGTCTTTTGCATACAACATGGCTATATATATATGGCTATTCTGAGCATAAATTATCTCGGTAGATGTGGAGAAGAGGAAAATTTGATTGGTCCCGTTAAACAAATTGGTTAAGCACAGATCATTTACTCCAGGCCATGAACTTATCGTCTCTGTTCTGAAATACGTATACGTCGACCAGAAAGCCAGCATTTTCCTGCAGGTTTGGGAACATGGTAAAAGATTATCTGCTTTCAGAGAGAAATACTTCCTTCTGCGATACAGTGCCCGGTTCTTTATTACAAATCATTGTAAAACGGCGAGTACCGCGGTCATTAAAAGTCTGTTCATGTTCTGCGTATGCAGTTGGCTCAAGATGACGATTTGAACAAGATTTTTTATTGGTATTGCTGGATGAGCAGGACGCTTATTGTGTCTTTCCGAAAACGTGTGTAAATGCATTTGAACTTGGCTGAGTTACTGTACCGTACTATATCTTCTCCATTTAAGGAACGTTTCATAACTGATGCTGTAGAAGTTATTGTTCTTGCCAGTAAAGTTGTATGAGATGCATATTTGTTGATGGTAAAATGCCATGGATCCGAGGATAACTAAAATGGTTTTGTAAGCATTTAGGAGTAACGACATGGCGTCACTCTCTCCATTATGGCCTACAGACATAATTGCGGTTGGCGTACTCATACTTTTTTATGTTTTACGTAAGCAAGAAAGAAAAATAAATATTTGAGTAAGGAAACAACGAAGTAAGTAAATAATTTAATAAGTTAGTAGGTATATGGATGTTATTACTCGACAGAATTTCGATTTTCACCCCTGCCAGAGAAAATAGTTACACTACACCATCGTTAATGAGTGCGTAATTACGCAAATAGGTAGAGTAATCAGTACGAAAATTGAGAAAGTGAGTAATTTATAAATTCTTAGGCAAGTTGAGTGTATGTAACTTAGTGCGTCTCAGAGAATGAAGTATGTAAATTATTAAAGAAAAGATTTCATAAACTAGTAATTACGTAACCAAATAAGCCGTCCGGTAACTAAGTAAGAAATATTACCAGAAAGAAATTTCCGCTCATCAACACAAGTAGTTTTCACTGCAGAAATATCCGTCATGCATGATTATTTTTGAGTATACAAGTGGTAATCAGTTAAGCAAGTAAATGAGTAAAAATAAATATGCGCTGGCATATTAATTTGCAGATAAGGAGGTGATTGTGTAAATTACAAGGTAACCATGTAAGTAATGAATAAAATATGAGTAAGTTGATGAATGACTGAGACAGTGAGAAAGTAACTAGCTGCACAAATATATACGTACGTAGGTTTTTATTTGACTAAGTTATTAATTAATAAACTTAAGTAAGTAACGAAGTCATTTCAGTATCGTGACGATGTTTTTGAATTCAACGAAGCAGTTCCGAACAGCGCCCGTTCTGTCATTGTACAGAGTCTGCAGCAGGAGAATCGTCAGATGAGGTGAGGAACGACTTACTTGTGACCTTGTAAATCTGATGTTCTAGGCTGTTAGAAGAAGAGAACAAACAGCTGAAAATAGTGCTGAAAGAGCACCAGACTGCCTTGGATTTGATCATGTCTCGCTATCGACAGCAGGTATTGGAACTGATCAGGCTAAACAAGCTTCATGAAGTGGCCAAAGAATACGTCACAACCTTAGGGGTATGTTCTGCTTTCTGCTGCCGAATTCTGTTACTTAATGTTGCGAAAGGAAAACAGTGTTTGTAACCGTTGGAATGCTGGTCTGCCTTACACTTTCATTAAGGCACCAGTTCTAGCGTCCGTATTTTCATGAAGTTCATGGCGGGCTACTGATTTTTATTTCCATGCCATTAATCCAGCATTGTCCTATCTTAAAAATAGAGTATGTTGCAAGCGTAGTTTCTGGTGTCCTGTTTCGTTCCGGTAGAATGGTACTGATTTATCTGTCTCAGAAG